TAAAAAGTTTCAAATCCTTTATAATTTCATATCCAGCACATAACTTCCACCAAAGAACACTAATAACCTAAGAGCAGCACGAGACTCAGATAGACTTTGAGAAATCACTAGGTTTTTTTTTGCTTTAAAGTCATATTTCATATAACCTATGTCAGAAACTGTCCTATATTCTGTGTCTGTCACAAAAAAATTCTCTAGTCTTCTTGAATATCCTATTACAAGCCTATAATATGATCCTTTTATGCAAAAAGACATCTTTTATTTTCTCTCATATTACCTATTTACTTTGCATCCTAAGCAGATTTTTTTCTATGCTAATTCTTTGTTACTTACATTCTCAATAATACACCTATTTGTAATGACTTGAGTTTCCAACTGATTTTCATGAATATAATTGTAACTGATAGTTACAAGTCAATGTACTGTGATATTCTATATTCAAAACCTCCTTGGCACCAAACTCATAGAGTACTTTCAATAATGAATCTAATGACAACAGCCATTCTCAGGCTTCTCCACAGTCTAATGGTGGTGACCTTGACTGTTATGCTATCTTATAAGAATTGTGACTGTTGGTTTCAGTCAACAGCAGGTGTAAAAATACTTTGTTAAACCAGCTTGTTTTATTTACATAGAATACTCTAAAAGGATATTATTTACAAATTAGTCCTTTGTTGTAAATAATGTAGCAAAATGTTAATAGCACAAAAGCGCAATGCTAAAGCAAATAGATGGCTACTTTTAAATTCTAAGGGAGAGTTACTGGTATACCTCACAGGTTGCTGCCCATGCTACATTAAGCATTAAATAGTTTATACTAACCCAAGTTAGATAATGTATATAGCTTGAATTATCCTGTGATTGTATTGAAGTAGAAACTACAGTCTTTAATAAGTAAACCTCACACTCCTAATTTTATGTATTATAAACATTTTGGCCTATAAATAGAAGCATACAGTTTATTCACAGACCATTTAATTTGGTTTCAAAGAAAATGAGTTTAATTGAATATTTTGCCTGGATATGCATGCTTCTGTAGGATTAAAGTGGATAGTGTTGAGAGTGTAGCTCAGGGCTAGCACACTTATGCACAAGACACTAGGTTTTATCCCTAACTTCACAAAAACATAAAACATATAAAGGTAAAAATACAGAAATAAATCAATGAGCAAAGTCTGGGGGCTGGGGTGATGATTTAGTTCGTGATGGCTTGTTCCATAAGCATGAGGCCCAGAGTTCAGATGCCCAGTTGCACACATTTATAAACACAGAATTGGAGGATGGTGGGAAGCAGGTGGTTTCCTGGAGTAAGCTGTCCAGTCATCTTAGCCAAATAAATGTGTTCCTATAGGATATCCTATGTTAAAAAAAATAAGGTGGATATATGCCCACGGGTGGTATAGCAGAATCTTGAAGTAGATAAGTCCCAACTTTCTGAGGAACTGTCATATTGATTTCTGTAGAGGCTCTATACATTTGCACTCCTATCAGCAATGGAGGAGTGTTGAGAGAATCAATGCAATGTGGAAACAAATGTTTTTATTAACAAGGGAAAGCACTTTCACACAAGCAGGGAAGATCAGAAGCGTGGCAGGCTTCCAAGAGAGAGAGAGAGAACTTTTGCTTTTGCTTTCTTTTTGTCCTCACCTGGGCGTGGACAGTATTGTGTAATCACCTCTACAGAGGAAGATGTCCTTCATCCCACTCTTGGGCATATGCCCAAAAGAACCTACCACAAGGACACTTGCTCAACCATGTTCATTGTTGTCCTATTATAACAGCCAGAAACTGGAAACAACTTAGATGACCCTGAACAGAAAAACGAACTTTTTAAAAGCATAGTACATGTACAGAGTGGAGTGTTACTCAGCTCCTTAAAAAAAGCACATCATGAAATTTTCAGGCAAATAGGTGTAACTAGAAAAAAAATTATCCTGAGTGAGGAATCCCAGTCTCCAAAAGATAAATATAGTATGTATGTTAGTCAATGTTCTATTGCTATGAACTCATAATAAAGGAAAACATTTAATTGGGGCTGGCTTTCAGTTTCAGAGCTTTGGTGAACTATCAGCATGACAGAAGGCATGGCAGCACACTGACAGACATGGTGCTGGAGGATCTGAGATTTCTAAATATGGATCTGAAGGCAGAAGGAGTAAGAGAGAGCCACTGGGCCTGGCTTGGGCTTCTGAAACCCTAAAGCATGTGCCAAATAACACACTTCCTCCATCAAGACCACATTTACTCCAACAAAGCTACCCCTTCTAATCCCTGTCAAGTGGCATGACTTCTTAATGTCCAAGCACTTAAATACATGAGCCTATGGGGGTCAATCCTATTCAAGTCACCAGAGTGAATATTCACCTATGTGTGGATATTAACAGTTAAATAACCAATAGCCAACATATGATCTGCAGACCCAGAGAGGCTAGATATAGCGGAAGGGCTAGGAGTGATACATGGATCTCCCTAGGAAGGAGTAGAAAATAGAATAGGTGTTATGGGTGAACAGGAGTTTGGGAGGGTGGGAAAAGTAGAATCAGGTAGAGAGGGAGAGGAGAAATAGGGTTGAGGATAGGAATTCTGAGAGAGACAACTAGAATTGAGGGGCATTTGAGAGACAGTATGGAAATCTAGTGTAGAGGAAACTTTCTAAAATAATATGAAGGGGATCCTACTGGAAGAGATGAAGCCTCAACTGACCATTTCTTGTTACCAAATGAAGCTTCCAGAACTGGGACTTGGTTGCATTCAATTAGTTATTGGCCAAGTGGGACCCATGGAAATCCCCACACAACTCAGACTGTTGCCAAAGGGATTGGTTGCTCTCAGAACTGGGACTTGGTTGCATTCAATTAGTTATTGGCCAAGGGGGACCCATGGAAATCCCCACACAACTCAGACTGTTGCCAAAAGGATTGGTTGCTCTCTGCAAACTGACAGCAAGGCCCCATTGCTGAGGACAACACCTGAACAACTCATTGAACATGAAAAGTTGAGCTGGTGTGTACATGAAGCCTTCACCTCTATGTGCTAGTGGGGTTTTTTTTTGTTTTTGTTTTTTTGGTGTGGGAAGGAAGATACTCTGTAGGCTACCAAAAGAAACATAAACACCAACCCAATCACAAAACCTTTGACCAACAATCTGTCCTACAAGATATGTTAGGACAGTGGTGGCACAAACCTTGTGGGAATAACCAACCAATGTCTGATTTGACTTAAAGCCCATTCCCCTAGATGGAACACATACCCAACATTGCTAGGGTGACCCAGAACCAGAGACTAGATACCCCAGAGACCAAACGCTACTGCTCTTAAAAAAAGTAGCAATAAAATGACACCTAAAGGTATGATGTATTCATAGATGAGTGTTTTACCCAGTCATCATCAGAGAAGCTTATTCCTGCAGTAGATGGGAAGAGATGCTTAGACCCACAGCCAGACAACACACACACACACACACACACACACACACACACACACACAGAGAGAGAGAGAGAGAGAGAGAGAGAAACAGAGAGAGAGAGAGAGAGAGAGAGTTCTCAGACAGAACACAAAGCTTTAAATGGAAAGTATCTAGCAAATCCCTCCCCTCAGAGGTCAGGGAGCCACACAGAAGAGGAGGTGTAAGAGCCAGAAAGGGTGGAGGACCCTGGGAGAAAAAGTTCCTCTGAATGAATTGAGCAAGGCTCCTATGAACTCAGAGACTGAGGCAACAAGCATAGGGCTGACACGGGTCTACATGGGACTCTCAAGAGTGTAAATGAGTGGGTATCTAGTTCTTGTGCCTGTCATTGGGCCTATTTTCCTTCAGATGGGTTGTTTTGTCTAACCTTGGTGTGATGGATTTTGTTTTGCCCTATTTATTATATTTATGTTGTCATGTTTGATTGTTATCTCTTAGTAGCCTGTTCTTTTCGAATGAGAGAGAGAAAGGGAGTGGATTCAGGGGGGAAAAGGAGGTGGAAAGAAACTGGGAGGAATAGAGGGAGAGGAAACTGTAATTAAGATAAATTTTATGAGAAAAGAATCTATTTTCAATAAAAGGAAAAACAAATAAGGTGGAGACTGATAAGGAAACCACTTAGTGTTGATCTCTCGTCTCATATTCACCCTCATATACACATACACATACCCATGAACACAACACACACACATACACACACACACAATGCATAGTCTAATGAAATGTTAAATTGAAGTAAGAAAGACTGGAAGAACTTCTTTTTAAGAGAAAATTTTGTTGTCAGCTTAAATCTGTAATCCCGTCAAGCAGGGGCTGAGTAAAAGGGTCACCATGAGATTCAGGCTATGCAGCAAGTCTCTTTTATGGAAGGAAGGAAGGATGGAATTTTAAGGATTAAAATATATAATCCCACTGCCAGAGAGTCTGGGAAACCTAATCTCCAACCAATGACTGATGGAAGCAGAGGCAGACATCCACAGCTAAACATTGAGCTGAACTCAAGGAACCCAGAGACAGAGAGGGAGGACTGATGAGCATAGGGGACAAGACTGGGCTTGTTTAACCCCCAGAAACAGCTGACCTGAACAAGGGAGAAGCTCTGGAATCCCAGACTGATGGATGGGAATCCAGCATGGAACTGATCCAGACCCCCTGAATGTGGGTGTCAGTGAGGAGGCCTAGGCAATCTGTGGGGCCTTGGGTAGAAGATCAGTATTTATCCCTGGCATATAAATGGACTTTTGGTGCCCATCCCACAATGAGAGATACACTCTCAGCCTGGACTCTTGGGGGAGGGTCTAGGCCCTGCCCTGGATGAAATGACAAACTATGGATATCCCTATGGAGGGCCTCACCCTCCCTGGGGAAAGGAGTGGGGATTGGGGAAGGGGGAGGGGAGGTGGTAGGACAGCATGGGAGGAGGGGAGGGAAAGGGAGAGGGACCTGGGATTGACATGTGAAGCAACCTTGTTTCTAATTTAAATTTGAAAATAAAATAATAATAAAAAAGTTCTGTCAGTCATGCACCAGCACATTTGTGTTTGACAAATCTGTTTTTATTTCTTACAACAAATGAGAAGGATACAAAATTAACAGCTTGAAATGGCCACCGCACAAGCTGCTGCCTCCTTCAACTAAGAAGATAACTTTCCAGAAACGAACTCTATTTTTCATATCTGTATCATTCCTCTATAGTCTTGTATGTCTAGAAGTGATTTCAAAGAGAAATGTCATTTTTTTTGCATGGCTTTTGGCAGAGCAACAGTTTCCCTAGGCCAACCAACAAGTGATACAGGGCAAAGAGTCCCAGAAAAGAAAACTAAAGAGCTAGGCAGATGCAAAGTCAATTGTGAAACCAAGTTAACAGTGGGTGACAAAAAAATATGCGTATAACACCAGGGTAGGCATGGGAAGATATGCAGTTTGCTAATAGGTGTGGATATAACATAAATGCTCAAAGCAAAGGGTGTAAAGTAAGGTGAGAGATAAATTAGTCATATTGCACAGCTGTGGTTCCTGAAAGGACTTGGTGAGAGCCTCACCAAGAAGACTAAGAACAAAGACAGCACTCCCCAAAAAGGAAGAGTCATCACAACAATTACAAGTAATCAAAGCCCCTATGATGACAAGGCCACATGTGCCTGTTGGGTTATGGCTGAGGACATCTTGGAATTCAAATTAACAGTTTGGATATCTTAGAATTCTGCTGTGTTTGACTTCAAGTTGAAGCAGGAAGAACGACAGTTTGCCTTTCATTCCCAAGAGCTCGACAGGATGCCTAAAAGGGAAGATGGAGCATAATTTGTCATCTGAAAGCAGTGCGGGGTGAATCCTTCAAATGCTTGAGAATTTTGTGTTCCCTAGTTTTAAATTGCCCTGTAATTTTCATTATTAACCAAGTCATTTTACAGTTGCATTTTGCTGTAGCTGAAGAACAATAGCTTGCTATCTTTCATCAGATTCTTCCATCTTTAGTCCACCCAATCTGCATACTTAGTCTCTCTACTTCTTCACTGTAGCCTTTGTAATAATAATAATAAGATCATCATAGATGCCTTCTGATGTAAAGTAAAGTCACCAAATGGATTTAATTAACAATCTGCAAATGAGTTCCTCGAATCAAGAATCAAACATTTGCTTCTTTAGAAGCCCTGGGTGATGACCACATTTCCCGATGGCTGCAAGGGTGGGAGAGCTCTCATTGCTTTTCTTCTCCAGGAATCCATCCATTCTATTTCCCCCATCAGCGTCTCTTTCTGTGGAGATCAGAATTGTTACACCTTCCCTCTGGTTTTCTGAAGACCTGTGAGAAAACTCTAGAATATTATAAAGCATAGCTGGTGTGCTTAAGGTTCCATTTCTTTGCATTTAATGCACCATAAAAATAGGAGGAAGACCTGTGTAAAGTGGAAATTGATTATTTAAAATCCCCATGCAATTTTGTTCATTTCAGAATAAAGTCCAACCCCCCCCCCACTGACATGTGGTCTGACCATTGCCTGTATTGTTCAGGCTTTCCACATCCAAGAGGTGCAGAAAGGGTTCATTGCTCAGACAGTGAAAGCTGATTATCTAATAGACTCCACTGAACCAAACACCTCATAGGCATACAATACAGTGCCTGCTCCCTAGGACCTTTCCTGGTTCTATGTTTTTCTTTCAGTCTGTAGAGTGGGTATGGACAGGAGGTGACAGCTTTGCCTGTCTCCTAGACGTCTGTCACCTGAGCATAACACCACCATTGAGTTTTCATTATTTGCATACATATCATTCTTCATGGCTACATCATGACTAGGCATGCAGGGACTTCCAGGACCTCTTTTTGTTAGATCCAAAGCTTTAGCAACTAGCCTAACATGTGGCATAAAGTGAATATTTCCTCAATGAAAAATTAAGTATATTGCATGTAAGCTCAGATGAAACATTCAGATTTAGGTCCAACTCAGTTATTCTGAGTCTCACAGTTCCTCGTCTGAACTTCTATGACCCTGTTTTATGAGGAGTTGCTCTGTTTTGTTTGTTTTTGTATATTGTCTTGCTTCTGTTTAGGGATTTCTCTTGTTCTTGTCTTTTGAATTTACTCAAACCTTATCTATTTATACTTTTTATACTTTTATTTTGGCCTTTCTAAATCTTATATAGATAGAATATGACTAGTTCATTAAAAAGTAGGTTACTTAGCAATAACCTTGATTTTAGAATATAGTGGTCCATAGAGTTTCAAATTTCTGTACTTTTAAAGCTAAGTGTTAGTCAACTTGTTTCTCACAACCACAAATGTCCCTATCTTTTTTTTCTGAAATTAAGGTACACAGACAAAAAACACACCCAAGAAAAGAACCTTTTGACTGTCTATAAAGTACTTCAGTAAATGTCACTTTCTCTGGTTACAGGATTAATGTAAAAGATGGTTGGGGGTGTCTGTAGGGTATGTTTAAATATCTCTGAGTATGGCCCTTCACTGCTTGAAGGCTCAAGGCAAATATTATGTATAAAGCACACTGTAAGACAAAAACAGCACACCAGTCAAGTGGAAGCAGCTTTGAGACACAAATAATATAATCATGCCACATCTTTGTATTGTGAGTGCATGTGTGTGTGTGTGTGTCTTGTGTTTGTGATATCTTTATCTGTGTGTATGCAGCAACTTTAAGTTGTGTATATGTCACGTCTTTGTGTATGACATCTTCATGTATGTGTAACATCTTTATGGTGCGTGTGTATGAGAGAGAAAGAGAGAGAGAGAGACAGACAGAGAGAGAGAAAGAGAGAGCAAAACTTGTTTATGGTGTGGGTGGGGGTATGGATGGGTGTCAGAAATAACTTGAAAAGCAGTCTTTTTAGTTTGCCAGCAAAGGGAGCAGTCTGCCTTCACCTTTACTAGACTTTGTTGAAAACAGATGTTCATTTGCTCTCTTATGCCATTCATTAGATTCAAAAAAAGGTTTTGTAAATTTTTAATTATGTATGACTGAATTTGAATTTGATTATTTATTCATCCCAGAGTATATTCCCCCATTTTACTGGATGGAAACCAAATGAATATAAATGATTCTTTTATAATTAGTTTTAGGGTGGTGTGTGTGTGTGTGTGTGTGTGTGTGTGTGTGTGTGTGTGTGTGTGTGTGTGTAAAATTTTGCTGTGTATACCAGACTGGGATTGAAGTCACTGTATTGCCCAAACTGACCTTGAATTCCCTGCAGTCTTCCCTCCGACTTTGGCACCCTCAGTGCTGGGATTATAGGTGTATGCCACATGCCCACTGATAAATGATTATTCCAATCACATTTAAACATGGTAAGTGGTAAATAAGTAGTACAAAAACAATGCACCTGGGCTAGATGCAAGCAGGAAGTCTCATGTGCACTGCCTTTCTTCCCCTCTTCCTCACAGCACAGCGACTCTTTTACTCCATGCTAATGTCGTCATTCCTTCACAAGATCACTTGCCAGTCTTTTGGCTCTGGTCACACATCTTCTTTTCTTCTGTCTGTACTGGTTTTACACAAAGATATGGTGTAATCGCCTGGAACATACTTTAAACATTTTATGTTTAGAAATTTTCTGTTTTATTCTTTTTTATTTATTTAAATCTCCTTGCAAATTTAGACACTATAGAAAACTATTATTTGTCTCATAATGGTGTGTTTCACAGTCTTTTGTGGAAAATAATGACATAATGATAGTGCTCTCAGACCTATATTTTCTACTTGATAAACTAGCAATTATATGATTAAAGCATTTTTTAGAAACCCACATTAAGTATATGATACTCTAGAAATCAGTCCATCATGTAATTACACAGTCAGGGAAGAAATAATTTACATGACTAAAAACCATCTGAAACAGTATCTGTGACCAGTCTGTGATTTTGTAAACGCGTAAAGAATAAGAATATCAAATGGTTCAATATATAATGTACTTTTAATGATAGAGCTCTAACTTCTGTGTTTTTAAAATTAGGTTTCAATTTTTATTTTTTGTCATTAGTAACAGGAAGCTATACCAAACTCTGCTGGAAACATGCTGGATACATTAGGAGAAATCACATAATTCTGGCGATTTCTTTCCAAAACACAAGCACTTACAAAGAGCAGAGACAAGTAGATGAGGCCTCGGTGTTTACGTTTCTGTGATACACACCAACTTTGCAGTGATTTTTCCTCAATAGTCTAACCTTCTGGCTTGATGACAAGAGCTTCACAATTTTCTTGAAAGTCAAATCATAAATCAAAGTACCAGTATTGTGGTCAGTTGGGAGAGATATAAAAATGTCCACACACAGCATTTTATTAGAAAACAGAAGGGGCATTAGCAGGATGTACCATGGGTCCTATCAGGAAATAGTCTGAGGCCCCATCTTCAAGACCAAGACAGGTTACTATATACCCTTCGTTGATTTGATCAGCTCTTTAAAACCAATTATCAAGCTTTCTACACTGTTCTCTGAGGAAGATTCTAGAAGCATCCAGAAGTCTTCCTTAGGATTCGCCCTTCATAAGAGTAATCCCACAAAGTTCTATGGACTAGTATTGCCTAAAAAGGAAGTTTAGCTATATTAAGAAGCAATAGTCAGTTATTTTACCATTTCTGGGGTCTTTTGAAGAATAAAACTTGCATATACTCAGACTGAGTTGCAGTTATAAAACATAAATCTCTCTAAGTCGACACAGAAAGGGCTGGAGCGATGCCTCAGTGGAAAAGAAACTTGCTGTTCTTTCACAGGACCCAAGTTTGGTTCCCAGCACACCTGTTGGGTCACTCACACCCACCAGGAACTGAAGTTACAGGAAATCAGATGCCCTTTTCTGGCTTCTGCAGGGCCCACACACATCTGTGCATACATTCACACAGGCATACATACATAAACATGAATAATTTTTTGTTTTAAAGAACACATAGGAAACCTATAAGAAGGTATAAGAAGGATCCCTCTTCAGCCAGGACTTGATAGGACATATGTGAATTAGACATTGGGTCGCAGGAGTAAAGGAGACTTTTATAGATATCTACATGCTTTCTGTGTGGTGTGTGGTGTGTGTGTGTGTGTGTGTGTGTGTGTGTGTGTATGTGTGGTGTGTTCATGGGTGGATGTGGTATGTGTATGTGTGTGGTGTGTATGTGTGTGGGTGTGTGGTGTGTGGAAGTGTGCATGGTGTGTGTATATGTGTGTTTGGTGAGTGTGTCATGTGTAGATATGTGGTATGTGTGTGTAGGTATGTGTGGTGTGTGTGTATTTGTGTGGTGTGTGTGTGATGTATGGGTGTGTATGTGTGTGGTGTATGTGGGTTCTGGTATGTGTATGTGTTTGGTGGCTTGTGTTGTGTGTGTTATGTGGGGGGTGTGATGTGTGTTGATCCATCAATCCTTGAATGAAGAATACATGTGATGGAGATGCCCTGAGACACCTGATAAACTCACACACCATCATAGGACACAGAACAGCAATGAGAGGCAGGTGGGGCAGGGACATTATGTACGTTTTACCAGTTAAGAGTCTTTCACTCTTGAAGGTAAGCAGGAATCCATCCCAGGTCTTGTGGGCTTGTGTCATTTGTTATAAACCAGAGTCTTTGTTTTCATGATCTCTTTTTTATTGTTATTGCATACTTATATGGATATGAATTTACAAATATATCCTTAAATATAACTTGCTCAATCTATGTAATGTTACTTTTATGAATGTTTTCAAGGCTGACAATTAGGCACTGAACAAGCATTTGGTTATGATGGAAAACGAGCCACGCCAAGGATACCGGGAAAGGGGGATAGTACTATATTTTCTTTAAGAGAGAGAAGTCACTTACATGAGAAGCCAAGAACCAAGATCAGCACACTCTGATCTCTGACCATGAGCGTGGCCCCAAGAGATCGTGTGCCTCCTTTTCCCCAGCTCTTATGTCCATACTACTTACCTGTGACCACGCCCAAGCAGGCGTGCTCAGGAGTGCAGTGCCTAAGATCTCTCCCTACAATTTTATGTACTTTTCCTTGGGGAAGACCACTCTTCTGCTTCTGACACACCTCAATTGTCTAGAGTTCTTTGTGTAGAGTTGAGGCCCCATGGGCTATCCCCTATCCACTTAGGCATATCCATTGGTGCCATTGTTTTTCAGCTTGTTTTATGCAGTCATTTTGGTGAGACATTTTTGGTGTAGCTTCTTACCTTACTAGGAGAGAGTCTCCCTGTTCACTGACTTTTTCTAAAATTTCACAGTAAAGTTCACTGAAACAGGGCATATTGCAACAAACCATTTGAGTATATATTGAATGGAGCTTAGACTCTTCTTACAAACGTACATACCAGACCCTTCTTACAGTCTTACACACCACAGTAGACTGTCTCACAGTTATAAATAAATGAGAGGGGCTGTAATGACATTTACAGTATACAGTTAGAGGATCTAGTGTCTGCCCCTGACTTAGTCATCTGCTCTATGATTGAGAGCTCTAGTGCTGTCTTCACACTTTTAGCATGGAAACCATGATTTCTGCCTTACAAGGTACTCAAGAGAATTAAATTGAGCATGTAAGAAAAAGCACCCAAGGATGTATATAAATATAAGGAAGTCATTTTATAATCACTAGTGCTGAAACTATAGTGATAACCAGTGAAGAGCACAGTGCTAAGCTTCTGGTCTACTATGGTGTTGTGTCTGCAATCTCAGAACTTGGGAGACTGAAGCAGGGCAGTCATCAATTCAAGGCCAATCTTGGCTATATAGTAAGACCTTACTTATTTGTAAAGGCCAAATAACCAGAGTCCATACCAGATTCACCTTCATTCATAGGCCTTGATTTTTACTGTCTTCTGAGATGAACCCTGAGTGACCCCTGCATTCAAGTCTACTTTGATCACCAAAACATCTGATTCTACCTAACTGGCCTTATAACAATTAGAGTAATAGTAGTGAGTTCATTCTAAATTCTTGTCATGTGACTTGATTGCTTCATTCGTCTTAAGAAGAAATGGTATTTTAAAATCGCTATCACATACTAAATGTTGCATTACACTCAAGAGTGGAAGGTGTAATCTTTGTCTATCCATGGGAAAGAAAGATAAAGCTTAACCAAAGTTATTACAGAAAAAAAGGCTAAAATACAGCTGTAAGGAGTGATCTCAGTGTGGGGAACATTATCAGATTATAATGCTGAGGGAAAGTTTGAGGGAGGGATAACTTCCCTGAAGGTACCATATTCTAAATTCAAAAAGGGAGGTGGGAGGGAACATGGAGCCTTGATGGGAGTGAAATATTGCAGTTGAGACTGATGCCTGGAGAGGGAACATGGGACAAGTGGCAGGAAAATGGAAGAACAAGCCAAGCTTGCCTCCAGGTGAAAGAGATTCTAACCCTAAGAGCTAAAGCAGTGGAACCATGGCCACTTGGTTAAGTTCTTAGGACAGGAAGGACCATGCAATAAACCGCTTGAGAAAACCGTTTGAAGTGGGGTAAGAGTAGTTGTTGACAAGCTGCTTAGGAGGAAGCCTGGCTTCCTTATGCCTGAGACTAAATCCCTGAGCAGGGCAGCTGAGCCAGAGGTTTTGCAGGTGCTGGAGAAACAGCTTGGGTCTCATAAATTCCACCTCTTTCCCTTTTGTTGCTCAGCTCATCATTCACATAAACGCACTTTCCTTTTGGAATATTCTAGAGAATCCCAGTAAAGGTTAATGGTGGGTAAAATGGTGGATTCCACACACATTTAAATTCATGAGGGAACAGTCAAAATGCCAATTCCTAAAATAATTGGTATTATTTCTCTCTAGGTGAAAGTCCTTGTTTGGTACTGCTATAAAAACAACACTAAAAAAAATCCAGTGAAACACATTTTTACTAGGAAAATGGTACAGATAAACACCATTTATAAGAAATTACATTAAAAAGTGGCAAAACCATAGAACTCAAGCTAAAGAAAAGAAAATACATGCACAAAATTCATAGGATCATAGACAACACATCCAATAATAATTTTAAAGTCACCAAAGGCCTTGCCTTTGGAATCTGCCAGATCAGAGCCACTACACTGGGAACATTGGCTCCTATAATTGGGCCACTAAGCAACTGTGGGTTTTTGCCTGATGGTCAAGGCACTGCCTCATAATTTCACAGCAACTGAGAAAATTCACATACATGTGCACACAGGCACAGATACCAACAGTGCTAAGACAGGCTAAATCCATACAGCTCACAGAAGTAGGCAGAAAAACCAAAGGAATCCCTCTCTGCCACAAACAGGCACACATGACACCCTTTAGAATTTTTCTCTAGGGTAAATTTTTCTCTCCTAAAAGAAAAAAAATTAAATCATTGGCAGCCTGACTCTCCCTGAGTAGAAGTGAGACATTAATTTCAATCACGCACATTGAGAAGTTATTGCACGGCAGGGATTTCCAATTACGTAATGCAGAACCAGAACTCTGCCTTGTCACTTGGCTGCCAGGATCCATGGGTGAGCTGTGTAACACTCTTCTGTCATGTAGCTCATGTGAGAAAAGAATTCTGCTGTTCCAAGAAATGGCACTCATCTTGGAGAACTT